TAATAATGCCCAGAAAATCCCTTATCGGAGCCCTTACTAGGAGCACTGAAAGGATCCATCAAAAAGGAGCCCCTTTAGGGAACCCTACACCCTAAACCCCCTAAACCCCCTAAAACCCCTAAAACCCCTAGACCCTAAACCCTAAACCCTAAACCCTAAACCCTAAACCCTAAAACCCTAAAACCCCTGAAACCCCTAAAACCCCTAAAGGCCGGACTGGATCTCGAGCCCGAAGTTGGCGCCCTCGTGCGGAGGGCCGAGATCGCCTCGAGCCTCGCCTTAGAAGCCGACAGAATTGGGGGAGTTTAGGGGTTTAGGGTTTTAGGGTTCAGGGTTTTCGGGTTTAGGGTTTAGAGGAGTTTTTGGGGTTCAGGGTTTGGGGATTTGGGGCTTGGGGTTCAGGGTTTTAGGCTTCAGGGTTTGGGGATCATTTTGGGTTCATTGTTTGGGGATTTGAGGGTTTAGGGTTTGGGGTTTTAGGGGCTTAGGGTTTAGGGTTTAGGGGTTTTCGGGTTTAGGGTTTAAGGTTTAGGGGTTTTAGAGTTGAGGTTTGCGGCTTTGGCTTTACTTCGGTTTGTGGCTCGGGGTTTGGGGTTTTGGGGTTCGGGGTTTGGGATTGTTTTTGGCTTTTCGATTCAGGGTTTCGGTATGTGGTTTAGGGTTTAAGGTATTGGGTTTAGAAGTTCTGGATTTGCCCGCCGCAAGTGGGCCGCTGTTTGAATGTATGAGCAGCAACCGTGTTGGTAGAGGTCAGGCATCACGCACGGTACGCTCTAGCCTTGCCTTTTCGGGGCCGAAATCCAAGTTTTTTCAGGGCTTTTTGGCCGGGCCGTGAGGTACGAGTGTGCCCGCTGTATGCCTATCCCCGCCTCTGGTCGCTTTCTTGCTCTATCGAACCCGCTTTTTGAAGTGCACTCATACACCAAGCCGTTACTTCGTGGTGACGTTAAATTAGAACATGACTTGTTTCATCGCAACGAGAATGCTTCATGGGTAGCACAGAGCTCTGTTGAAATCTTCAGTCAAACGTTCGAACGTATCGAGTCTTTTGATGAAGCCCTAAACCCTAAGCCAAAAAGCCCTAAACCCTAAACCCCATCATAGTGATTCAGCCAGACTTTGCTATATGGATACTCAGTTTACACAACACCAAGCATGCATTTCAGCTTTTCAGGGTTCAGAGTTTCGGCCGTTTTCATGGATTTAAGGTCTGCCCCGAAACCCTAAACCCTAAACCCCTAGACCCTTGACCCTAAACCGTTCAAGAGTTTGCGGAAGACTCTGTGGGCGTGTCGTGCGAAATTGGGCCGAAGCCCTGAATCCCAAACTCGACACCCGAAAGCCGTAAAACCCTGAAATCCGAAGCCTTAAACTGGCACCCTGGTAGAACCCACATACAGCCCAAAACTAAACCCTAGACCTTAAGCCCTGAACCTTAGGTGCCCTAGACCTGGAACCCCCTCCGAGGAACCTTTCAAACCTTACGCTGCAAGGCCGAAATACCCAAAACCCGCAGTCCTAAACCCTAACACCCCAAACCCTAAACCCTAAACCTTAAACCCTAAACCCTAAACCCTAAATCCACCCACGACAGGAACCGGCGCTCGATCGCCTTTGCGCTGCGCCGTGGAGACGGCGACTCGACTCGGGAGGATGAATTTCTGGTCATCGTCGCCATCATGGGGGTTTAGGGTGTAGGGTTTAGGGTTTAGGGTTTAGGGTTTAGGGTTTAGGGTTTAAGGTTTAGGGTTTAGGGTTTAGGGCTTAGGGTTTACCGGGTTCAGGTTCTAATGTAGAGGCCTCAATGATTTCCTATACTATTTTGGGGAGGGGTCCTTATTAGGGTTATAGAATAAGAATGCCCCCAAACTCTATTCTATTTATTAAGGCCTCTACATTAAGGTCGAGGGTTCAGGTTTTGGGGGACTCAGTGGTTAAGGGACTTTAGGATTCAGGGACTTTGGGTTTAGGAGTTTTGGATTTGGGGTTTGGGGGGGTCGGGTTTGGGGTGTGGGGTTTAGGGGTTGAGGGGTTAGTATTGGGAGTTATGTACGGCTAGGAGTTTAGTCAAGGGGTTTCTACGAGGCTTCTTTACGGTTCTGTAAGGACGTCCTAGAAAGCTTCTATGACTCTACCTTGTTAATAATGAGCCTTTCCTAAAATAGTTCTATAGGGGCTGCAGTTGTAGCACACAGGGGTTCTTGCTTTTGGATGAGCCCGAGGCTCTGTGGTTACCTGGGGCGATGCGAGATTCGGAGGACGGACCACTCTGATCCAGGACAGGTTGAAGCATGTGCAACAGATTTGCCCCTCTTCAAAAGGGTTTAGGGTTTAGGGTTTAGGGTTTAGGGTCTGATCCAGGACCGGTTGAAGGATGTGCAACAGATTTGCCCCTCTTCGGGGGCCTTTGCAGCCCTTCTGGCAGATGGCTCCGTCGTGACCTGGGGCCACGCAGAATGTGGCGGAATCAGCGCCGGTGTGCACGAGCAGCTTCATGAGGTTCAGCAGATCGAAGCCAACGGCCGCGCCTTTGCGGCTATCCGTTCGGATGGCACAGTGGTGACCTGGGGCTCTGCGGAAGAGGGCGGTGATTCCAGGAAGGTCCAGGAGAAGCTTCGTGGAGTGATCAGGGTACGGAGTACCTCTAGTGCTTTCGCGGCAATTCGAGGAGATGGGACTGTGGTTACTTGGGGGAATCCATGCTTTGGTGGAGATAGCTCTGCCGTTCAGCACCAGCTGGCAGATGTCGTGGACATCAGCGCCACTGCCGGTGCTTTTGCAGCGGTCTCCGCTCATGAGAGGCTGGTCCCGAAATACTCACTAAACTCTCAGACCTCAACCCCATACCTAAACCCTAAACCCTAAACCCTAAACCCCAAACCCGAAACCCTAAACCCTAAACCCTAAACCCTAAACCCTAAACCCCTACACCAGGTTGGTTATGTGGGGAAGCCCCGACTACGGCTGTGACGCATCTGCAGCAAACAAGTTGAGCCATGTCAGGGAGGTTGTGGCTTCTGCTGGGGCATTTGCCGTGCTGCGGACGGATGCTGAGTTGTTATGGAACTTAATTTAACTGAGATACCATAATCGGGATATATCCTAAGATACCATAGTCGGGATATATCCTAAATTCCTAAATATTGTATAGGGCTTCATTTTTGTAGTAAATTAAATCAAGCTCCTTAAAAGCAACCCAGGATGGCACAGTGGCTAGCATCGGACGATCGGACTGTGGGGGTAGGGCTGTGGATATCTGCGACATCGAGCGGATCTTTGCATCTGGAAGTGCCTTTGCAGCCATCCTAAGCGATGGGCATGTGACGACCTGGGGAGATTCAGAGTACGGAGGAGCCCAAACCCCCCTAAAATAATAATATAAGGGCCTCAATAATTAGAATAGGGTTTTGGGGGTTCCTTATTCTTATTATAGTATAATATACCCCAAACCCTATTCTAATTATTAAGGCCCCTACATTAAACCCAAATTCTACACCTTGGCACCTAAACCCTAAGTCCTAAACCCTACACCCAGCCTGTGGAGGAGACAGCTCCGCAGTACAAGACCAGTTGACCGACATTCAGCAGGTCGCGTGCACGGCGGGTGCCTTCGCAGCCTTGCGGTCGGATGGCCGTGTGGTCACCTGGGGTCAGGCTGACTGTGGCGGCCAGAGACCTGTCTGTCATGGCAGTCTGTCATGACCCTAAACCCTAAACCCTAAGCCTTAAACCCTGAACCCTAAACCTTAAACCCTAGACCTTAAGCCCTAAACCCTAAACCTTAAACCCTAAACGCTAACCCCCCAACTTGAGGTTTGTGATTGATTCGTAATATCGGGCCCTGGATAGTTGAGGATATTATTCCATGGGGGTCCTTACCACACGAAAAGTTACTCCCCCCCGGAACCTCGGCTCCGATAATAAGGGCCCCACGTAATATTAGGGCGTAATAATTACCTACACTATTTTGGATGTTCCTTATTATAGTTATAGTATGATAAATACCTATTCTGTTTTGGGTGGTCCTTATAACAACTATAGTATAATATACCCCAAAACCTTAATAATTACCTATACTATTTTGTGGTGTTCCTTATTATGATGATAGTATAGTATACCCCAAAACCCTATTCTAGTTATTAAGGCCCCCACATAGTGCTTTCTCCTGGATCTCAGTGAGTAGGCAGTCGACGAATAAGACGAAGGCTCAAGAACTATCCGATACATCCCAAAACCCTGATACCCATGAGGGTCTAAGACCGCTAAACCCTAAACCCTAAAACCCTAAACCCTAAAGTTCCAGGAGCCAGGAGGTACGTGACCAGCTGTCAGACGTGCGTGATCTTGGCGCTTCTTTCCGTGCTTTTGCTGCTATCCGGATCGATGGCCGGGTGGTGACCTGGGGCGATCCCCACTACGGAGACTCGCTCTGATTGTTGTCATCCTGATTATTGTTCTGATTGTTCTTGTTATTGTTATTATTACTCGTATTCTAGCAGTGATAGTTCTGGTGTTGCTACTAAGGTCATGGCTGTTATTTCCATGATGATATCTTTGATTTCTACTCATGATCGCTAGAGGTAGATGGACCTTGTGTTAGGTTGCAAATTCAGTTCAGCCCCAGAACTTAAAACCCGGAAAGCCCGCGTCGTTTCTCTTTGTATCACTGCAAATACGCATTGATCAATGGCCCGAACCCTTTGTCCTGCAAGCCTCTTTCGCAAACCTGAAAGCAGGCGCTAAACCCCCCTAAACCCTAAACCCCAAACCCTAAACCGTCCCTAGGTTTCGGGTCGAGGATGATCTTGAGTTTAGGGTTATCCGAAGCCCCTGCTGTTTGAGCGCCAGGAGGGGATGGCAGCACTGTCTGCCCGCAGCTTCAAAACGTTGATGACTTCCGCCCTACAGCACTGGGCATCCTTGATGTCGAAAAGTCGAAAGGCTGCATGTGGGTAGTTCTCTAAATTCGGGTCCGTTTTAGGGACCTTTTTTGTCAGGGTGCCGTACTATATTTGGCCAACCCTAAAACATAAACCCCTAAACCCTAAACCCCTAAATGTCCAACCTTTCCGAAGCCAAAGGCCCTTAAAGGCGCAAACCCTGAAGCCACAGACCCTGAGACCCTAAACCCTAAACCCCGAAAGGCTTAAAGCCCTAAGCCCTAAACCCTAAACCCTAAACCCTAAACCCCTAAACCCCTAAGCCCTAAACCTTATAAACCCTAAACCATAAACCAGAGCCAAGAGGGTAAGCTCTTCGTTCGGGAGGCGAGGCTAACGCTTTGCTGGGTTGGGATAGAAACTCTCTGACTTGAAGTTGACAGAAGCCCTCGTTGATGATCCCCTAGCACAGTTTAGGGGTTTGGGGTTTTGGGGGTCTAGGGGTTTGGGGGTTTGGGGGTTTGGGGGTTTAGAGGTTTAGGGTTTGGGGGTTTGGGGTTTAGAGGTTCAGGGTTTAGGGGTTTAGGGGCTTAGAGTTTAGGGTTTGGGGGTTTGGGGGTTTGGGGGTTTAGGGTTTAGGGGTTTAGGGTTTAGGGTTTACGGGTGTAGGGGCTTAGAGTTTAGGGTTTAGGGGTTTGGGGGTTTGGGGGTTTAGGGGTTTAGGGTTTTGAGGTTTAGGGGTTTGGGGTTTAGGGTTTAGGGTTTAGGGGTTTTGGGTTTAGGGGTTAAGGTCTGACGACTTTGGGCGAGCTTCTTCATCATGTGCAGAGACACGGCACCTAAGTACCTACAGCTCGGGCACCGCACTTTAATTCAACTGAACTTGTATACACGTCTGTAGACTTTAGGGATCAGGGCTCAGAGTTTGATACGTTTCGAGGATGAACCCTGAACTTCAAGCCGTGACCCCTTCGCCAAAAAGGTTCAAGGTTTAGGGTTTAGGGCCCCGGAGCTTTAACCGCCAACGAAGTCGTGCCAGGCCACAGCCTGCCTTTGTCGAATCAGTGCGGACCCAGGCCGTACCATGTTCGTAGTAGGTTCAGTGCTTGGCCTTAGCCGCTTGGCTTTTTACACTTTGAGAAGACTAGGAGCCTGAGCCCTGCGCTCTGTCCCTGCCCCTCCCCTGCCTCTGCCCGTGGCCCTGCCCGTGCTCCTGCATGCTCCTGCTGCGGCTACTGCTCCCTTTCCTGCTCATGCTGCTCCTGCGGCTGCTGCTACAACGATGTTGACGAGGACTGCCGCCCATCATCCTTCAGTGTCGGTGTCGCTGTTATCGTTGCTGCCGTTTTGCTGCTGCTGGTGCTTCTCTTGCTGCTGGTGCTCCTGCTGCAGCCGCCGCCTTCTGCTTTGTCGAAACCAGGGCGACCGTGGCCGCCGCTGCTGTTGCTCACGTTGCTGTCAGAGTCCTCGTCGGTGTGCTTGTTGTGGTCGTTGTTCCTAAACCCTAAACCCTAAACCCTAAACCCTAATCCCTAAACCCTAAACAGCCTAAACCCTAAACCCTAATCCTTTCATTTTCGTTCTTCCTTGTGCTCCTTGCAGTCGTCCTCATCTCCAGTCCTTAAGTGCGACCCATGTCCGATGCACTTCGCTTTCATCTGTCTGGTGCTTAGTATGGAATGGGGGAACGGATCCCTATGATAGTCCAAGTAAGGTCCCTTGTAGTAGTCCCTAAAGCCCATTCCCCCATTTCCTACTAAGCACCAGACAGTCATTCAACCCGAATGAAATCTAAACTCTACGCCCTGAGCTCTAAACCCCAAGCGCCCTAAGCCCCACACACCAGGCCCAAGATACTGTTCATGGACAAAATCCTGCATGACCCAAATATAGTATGGTACCATAAATCCCATAGTTTAAGTATATAGGGTCATGCAGGATTTTGTCCATCAGCCGTATGACCTACATTATAAGCCCTACATGCACAAATCGTACGCCCCAAACTCTAAGCTGCGAGAAAAGAACCCTCAAACCAACACCCTAAGCTGCCGACACGGAAGGATCCCGCGCATCGACCACAGCTCATTTCCGCGACCCGAGGTGGGGCTCTTCGCGCTGACTCTCTATAATGTGGGGGCCTTAATAATAAGCAGAATAAGGTTTTAATGGGGTTCCTTATTATCATTATAGTAGAATGGGCACCAAGACCCTGTTCTAATTATTAAGGCCGCTATGGTATCTAAGTGGGTTGGAGTAGGTGTCCATTTTCAGGTTTTTGAATATGCTTGCATGTTATAGACATAGCATGTACATCATACGTGCATAGACATGTAAACACGCATACATACATACATACATACATACATACATACATACATACATACATACATGCATGTATACATATACACTAGATACATGCCTACATGCGCACATACATACATACATACATACATACATACATACATGCATGTATACATATATACACACACACACACGCACATATGCAGATACGTGCATACGTGCGTACGCACACGCGTGCATAGGTGCATGCATACGTACGTACATACATTCATCCATCCGTTCATCCATCCGTACATACATACATACATACATACATACATACATACATGCATGCATACATACATACATACATACATATGTAGATGTGTTTGTGTACACACGTATTCACATGCATGCACACACGCACAGCACATACCACATACACCACATGCACTACATACAAGACATTCCATATTGTATACAAAGCGCATGCATACCTTACACACAGATATGTACGTACATGTGTACATGTGTACATAT